TGCTGCTGCTGATGATGATGATGATGATGATGATGATGATGATGATGATGTGGCGATGGTGGCCACGACGAGGACGAGGAGGAAAGGCTGTGACATGTGACGCCTTTCGTTGCCACGTTGGACGGGCTCTCACGGAGTTCATGTGGGATGTCTCGGGACTGTCCTGGGTTCTTGTGAGGAGATCTCGAGGTCACCGTGGGGCCCCAGATGGCCGTTGAAGGCAGTGGCGCGGCTGTGCCTATTGGATTTTGAAGTTCATGTGCGTGCATGTGGAAAGAAGGATGTCTAGATAAGCCCGTACGATGTCTGGATAAGCCTGTCATGTGTTGTACTGATGCTGTCGATTTGTTTTGACGTCAGAACCAACCTGGATTTGAGCTCACTGTCCGGCGTGACGGTAATGTTCATCCGGGTGTCTACTCTGTGCATGCTTGGCATAACTTTGCCACCACGGCCGCTTAGGTTGAAAAGGCGTCCGTTAATTTGAGCTAGGTCCTGGTGATGTTTGCAGCCTCAAGGGCCGAGGGGGGGTGTAAGAGATTACACCCCCCAGTCACACAGGATGGTCCCCGCCGCTTGGCCGAAAAAAAAGCGCCGCTTCCTACCTCGAATCCTCCTGGGGGTTTTGCAAGGAGGGGAAAGGAACATGAGGACACGGACCGGAGGAGGAAGAGGAGGTGAACGGCGAGGAGGAGGTCGGAGGAGGAGGATCGGAGGAGGATCGGAGGAGGATCGGAGGAGGGGGGGAGGGAGGAGGAGGAGTGCCGAGGAGTGCCGAGAAGTGCCAAGAATGCCGAGGAGTGCCGAGGAGGGCCGAGGAGTGCCGAGGAATGCCTCGGGGTGCCGAGGGGTGCCGAGGAGTGCCGACAGGGGAAGGAGAAGAGGAGGAGGAGGGGGGAGGGAGAGGAGGAAGGGGAGGAGGAGGAGGAGGAGGAGGAGGAAGAAGGAGGAGGAGGAGGAGCAGGAGGATCAGGAGGAGGAGGAGGAGCAGGAGGAGCAGGAGGAGAGGGAGGAATGCCTAGGAGCGCCTAGGAGCGCCGAGGATTACCGAGGAGTGCCGAGGAATACCGAGCAGTGCGGAGCGAGGAATACCGAGGAGTGCGGAGGAGTGCCGAGGAGTGCCGAGGAGTGCCTAGAGGGGAAGGAGAAGAGGAAGAGGAGGGGGGAAGGAGAAGAGGAAGGGGAGGAGGAGGAGGAGGAGGAGGGAGGAGGAGGAGGAGGGAGGAGGAGCTGGAGGAGGAGGAGCAGGAGGAGCAGGAGGTGCAGGAGGAGAGGTAGCGCCGAAGAGTGCCGAGGAGCGCCGATGGAGGAGGGAAAGGGGGTGGGGGAGGGGGCTCCGTACATCCACTGTGGCCCAGGTAAGCCATGTCCGAAGGCGGCGTACAGCGAGCCCATTGCGTTCGTGCACACACGATCCCTGTTTGAGCCCGCCCGAGGCCTTCCCAGACCCCCTCGAGTAATGAAAAAATCATGACGGGAGGTTTTTCCTAATTTTCGGCCTCCGGGGGCCCTCACCGGGCCTCGGGAGTGTCAAAATACGACTCAGGATGCAAAGCCGGTCATGGGGAAAGGGTCGGGACCTCTGGGGGTCGACGTCATGAAAAAATCATTACGTCGGGGGTATGGGTTTCAGGGTCCTGGCGTTTTCCCATGGATCCAGGGTTTGCCATGCAGGGGTCCCGTCCGGAGAATCGGGCTGGAGAGGTCCGACTCGGAAATCGAACTCGGAAGTCGGAAATCCGAATTCGGATATCCGGGTTCCGGGTCCCGGGTTCCGGGTTCCAGGTTCCGGATTGGACCTCCGAGTTCGGATATCCGGATTGGTGAATCCAGACCGGGTTCCGGTTTCAGGTTCCAGATTGGACCTCCGAATTCGGATATCCGGATTCGGGGTTCCGGGTTCCGAGTTCGAGGTTTCGGAATTGGACCTCCGAATTCGGATATCCGGTTTCCGGGTTTCCGGGTTCCAGGTTCCGGATTGGACGTCCGAATTCGGATAGTTATCCGGATTCGGGGTTCCGGGTTCCAGGTTCTGGATTGGGCCTCCGAGTTCGGGTATCCTGATTCCGGGCTCCGGGTTCCGGGTTCCAGGTTCCGGATTGGACCTCTGAGTTAATTCGGATGTGCGGATTCGTGGTTTTGGGTTCCAGATTCCAGGTTTGGGGTCGGGCTTCCGAATTCGGATATCCGGATTCCGGTTTCCGGGTTCCGGGTTCCAGGTTCCAGGTTGGACCTCCCAATTCGGATATGCGGATTCGTGGTTCCGGGTTCCGGATTCCAGCAAAACGAGGTATAAAGTTTAATTCGGCGTGAAAAAATGCGTTTCGCGCGTGCCCGCTCGAGGAAAGTCGACCCCCCACCTCGGATCCTCTATAAATGACGGGGTCCGCCCGAATAGTCCAATCCCAGGAAGCCCCAAGAGATTCCCAAGAAGCCCCAAGAGGCCACCCTCCGGGTTTTTGAGGGGGGAGGGGGGCGGGTCACTACCGGTTCGAACCCCCCCCCCTTTCGCCGCCGAGCCGGGGAGAGTGGGGACATTGACACTGCTGGGGGCACTGGTGGGGACAGCGGGGACAATGGCGGGAACAGTGGGGACAGTCGGGCAGTGGTTGGAGCCGTGGAGAAAGTGGGGGAGAGTGGGACCGTGGTGGAAACAGTGGTGGGGACAGTGGGGACAGTGCGACAGTGGTGGGGGCACTGGTGGGGACAGCAGGGACGGTGGTGGAACCAGCGGGGACAGTGATGGTGAGGACTGATGCTGGGGAAAGCAGTGGGGGATGTGGTGCGGGCTGTGGTAGGGACCGGGAGTCGTTTGCTGGCGGTGAGCGTGGGGGGGGGAGGGGTTCGAACCGGTAGTGAGCCTTTCCGGTTTTCGAGGGGGGGGGGTCGAACCGGTAGTGACCCCCCCTGGTTTCCGAGGGGAGTGGGGGGGTTCGAACCGGTAGTGACACCCCCCCCAGTTTTCTGGAGGGGAGGGGGGGGGGGGTTCGAACCGGTAGTGACCCCCCCCCGGTTTTCTGGAGGAGAGAGGGGGGGGAGGGGGGGTCGAACCGGTAGTGACCCCCCCCGGTTTTCGAGGGGGGGGGGGGTGATAGGGGAGGGGGGAGGTTTTGCCGGGGCAAGGGGGGGGGATCCAGCAGGGGGGGGGATTTTCGGAAGGGGGGGGCGGGCCTGGGTTCCGGAGGAAGAGGGGGGGAATTTTCCACAGTAAAGAGGCGGTGGAACACGCTCTCACAGAAATCAGGACGTCGCATTTCTGGGCTGGCGTCTCAATTTTTCCGAGCCAGGCATTCTTCGGGCCCTGGGGCCCTCACAGATCGATCCGGCTCGAGAGATGACGCGGAAAGGTGGGGTCCAGGGCTCCGGTCGTGATTCTGCGATGCTGCAACTTTTGCGACGTCGGATCTCAGGGAGCCATGGGCCCCACCTTTCTGCACAATTGTTCGAGCCTGGCCGATCTGTGATGCAGTCAAGCCGCATAGTAAGGACGGGCAACCTTCCCAAGGGTACCCTTGCATCCTTGCCTCCTCGGTGCATCCTTGGCCACTTTCGTTGGCCGCGCCCCGCTCGAAAACTTCGGAATGGGCTTCCAAGGACCTTGCATCCTCATCGCGCATCCTCACTCTACGGTTTGGCTGTGGTCCCCAGGGCCCGACACGGCGCGGAAGCGCCCAGCAGCGCGAGCACAAAACAAATCCTGCGGGGCCCCCTCCTGACAGCAAGAGTGAAGAGGCGGGTCGACGGCATCGAGGCGAGAGCCGGCTGCCTGAATAGATTTGGGATTTGGACGCAGTCTCGATCAAGAGAAGCTGCTGCTGCCCAGACATCGGGCGTCTCGAAAAAATCGAGGCGGAGGTTTTTCTTAACCCAGACATCCGACGTCTCGATTTTTTCGAGACGCGGGCCCCCGACCTCCCGACCACTTCCCCAGGACCGGTTTTTCATCCCGAGTCGTTTTTTGACGCTCCCGAGGCCCGGCGAGGGCCCCGAGAGGCCGAAAACTGCGAAAAACCTCCGTCTCGATTTTTTCGAGACGCCCGATGTCTGGGAATTTCGGCCTCCCGCGGGGCCCTCGCCGGCCCTCGCCGGAGCGTCAAAAGAGACGACTCGGGAGGAAAAGCCGGCCCCGGGGAAGTGGCGTCGGGCTAGGTCGGGGGCCCCCGCGTCTCGACACAATATCGAGACGTCGGAGGTCTGGGTGGCAATTGGCGGTCTGTAGGGCTTCCCTGACTCCGGATCCGCCCTACTTTAGCTTTTTTTCCAACTTAAAATTGCGTCGGAAATCCACCTACCAGAGGCCGAAAAAGTAGGGCGGAAATTGCTGCACCCAACATAAAATAGAGCGGAAATCCACAGAAACAGCAACAGAAAAGTAGGGCGGAAATTGGCATTAGCGGGGCTTGAAATTGGCGGTCTAGGGCTTCCCAGGCTCGCTTCACATCTGAGATCCCAGACCTCGGGAGCCTCGAGAAAATCGAGGCGGAGGTTTTTCCTAGTTTTCGGCCTCGGGAGGCCCTCGCCGGGCCTCGGGACCGTCAAAAAACGGCTCGGGATGAAAAACTGGTCCCAGGGAAGTGGTCGGGAGGTCGGGGGCCCGCGTCTCGAAAACATCGAGACGTCGGATGTCTGGGATCCGACGTATATCGAAAACATTGGGCCAGCCGGAGAAATCACGACTGAAGCCCCGGACCCCATCTCTCTTCACTGGCTTTCGGGTCACATACCCAGGCTCTCCGGCGGCCGTCCGGAACGACCTGGGCGCCCCCGGAACGGCCCTGGACGCTCCCGGGGCCCGGCGATGGCCTCGAGAGGCCGAAGACGGCGAGAAACTTCCGCCCTGTATTCCCAGACATCCGACGTCTCGATTTTTTCGGGACGCGGGCCCCCGACCTCCCGACCACTTCCCTGGGACCGGTTTTTCACCCCGAGTCGTTTTTGGACGGTCCCGAGGCCCGGCGAGGGCCCCGAGAGGCCCCAAACTGTGAAAGACCTTTGCCTCGATGGTTTCGAGACGCCCGACGAGTGGGAATTCCCTATGTACGGCGGGATCGCGTCGAGGGCCCGAAGGCGCCCCTCGAGCGCAGCGCCGCGTGGGGCTCGCCGCGCGCCCGAGAGGGCCCCGCCCGCCCAGCGGGCCGGGGCGGCCTCCCGGCGCCCCCAGTGGTCCGCGGGCGATGCCGCCGCGGCCCGCGTCCGCCCGGGAGCCGACGAGGCGCGTGTGCGAGCGGCCCGTCGCGGACCTGGAGGTTCGGCTGCACGTCGGCTCCCAGACATCGGGCGTCTCGAAAAAATCGAGACGGAGGTTTTTCGCAGTTTTCGGCCTCTCGGGGCCCTCGCCGGGCCTCGGGAGCGTCAAAAAACGACTCGGGATGAAAAACCGGTCCTGGGGAAGTGGTCGGGAGGTCGGGGGCCCGCGTCTCGAAAAAATCGAGACGTCGGATGTCTGGGCTTCGAGCCCAGACGTCGGGCGTCTCGAAGCAAAGATCGAGGCGGCGGTTTTTCGCACGGAGTGCTTCGGGCGCCTCGGGGCCCTCGCCGGGCCCTTTGGGCCGTCGGCGGGCGACTCGGGACGCAGAACCGGCCCCGGGGAAGTGGTCGGGAGCTCGGGGGCCCGCGCCTCGCAAACATCGAGACGTCGGCTGTCTGGGTCGGCTTCGGGTGGCCCTTCGCCAGCTCGCGGCCCACAACCCACCAGACCGCCCCAGCCCAGCCCGAAGGCCCCGAGGTGCTCTCCACTTCCAGAACCCAGACATCCGACGTCCCGATGTTTTCGAGACGCGGGCCCCCGACCTCCCGACCACTTCCCTGGAACCGTTTTTTCCTCCCGAGTCGTTTTTTGACGCTCCCGAGGCCCAGAGAGGCCGAAAACTATTGAAAAAAAACGCCTCGATTTTTTCGAGACGCCCGATGTCTTGGAAGGGGGGGGGGGTCGGGGAACATGGGAAACGCACATGTGGATTCCGCCCCCCCCCCCCCCTGCCCGAAATTCGGGTCTTCGGGTTGGGTTGGGGTGGTCCGGTATACGTGGCCAGCGACCTTCCCAGACCCCCTCGCGTCAGGAAAAAAGTCACGACGGATTTCTTCCCAGACATGATCGCGTCGTAAAAAATTCAGGACGGCTGATTTTTCAGTATTTTCGGCCCCTGGGGACCCTTACTGGGCCCCGGGACCGTCAAATAAACATTCATAATGACAAACTGGCCCTGCATGGGGAAAGGGTCGGGACTTCCGGAGGCGCCGTCCTGAAAAAATCAGGACGTCGCATGTCTGGGTTTGTTTCTCGCCATGTTCGGCCTCTGGGGGCCCTCGCCGGGCCCCGGGACCGCCAAAAAGCGACTCAGGAGGAGAAACCGGTCCGGGGTCGACTTTGGGGGTCGACGTTCTGAACACAACCATGACGTCGGGGGTCTGGGTTTGGTGCAGGCCCGCAGGTCTAGGCCTCCGAGATGGGGTCCGAGTAGATGGTGTCGGAGGATCGTGCCGCATCGCCGATGCATCGGCGACGCTGGCGTGGAGAAAGTCGGGCTCCACATCGAGCCGCATCGCCGATGCATCGGCGATGCGGCACGATCCCCCGACCCGATCTACTCGGACCCCATGGGATGTCTGTATTTTTGTTCGATGCGGGGTGCCCGGAATCCCCGACCCTTTCCCCAGGGCCGGTTTCTCATCCCGAGAACTACTTTTTGACGGCCTCCCTGCAATGGAGACCCATGCCGCCAAGAAACACCTTGCTTGCCTTCAGGGTGCCATGGGTTTCTTGGGTTTCGATGTTTTTGCTATGGAAAGCGCGACGTTCCCACATCAAAAATCAATGGACGTCCTGGGGTCTCAGGGTTGTGCTTCTCTTGTGAAAGGTTTCTTGTGGACTGGCCTCCACTGTAGGCCGAAAACGGCTAGAAACCTCCTGTCGCGATGTTGTTCACGCCGCGGGCACGTCCCTGCTTAGTGCGGGCCCAGAGGGGTCCACCCGAGCACTGGCCTCTGCGCGCTTGGACCCTGCGATCTGACGCTGGAAAGCAAGATCGGCATCGCAGAAAATTACGGACAGAACCCCAGAGCCCATCTTCCCGCCTCCTCCTCCTCCTCCTCCTTCTCTCTCCCTCCTCCTCCTCCTCCCTCCTCCTCCTCCTCCTCCTCCTCCTCCTCCTCCTCCTCCTCCTCCTCCTCCTCCTCCTCCTCCTCCTCCTCCTCCTCCTCCCTCCTCCTCCTCCTCCTCCTCTCCTCCTCTCTCCTCCTCCTCCTCCTCCTCCTCCTTCTCCTCCTCCTCCTTCCTCCCTCCTCCTCCTCCTCCTCCTCTTCTTCCTCCTCCTCCTCCTCCTCCTCCTCCTCCTCCTCCTCCTCCTCCTCCTCCTCCTCCTCCTCCCCCTCCTCCCCTCCGCCCTCCTCCTCCTCCTCCTCCTCCCTCCTCCTCCCTCCTCCTCCCTCCTCCTCCTCCTACCTCCACCTCCTCCCTCCTCCTCCTCCTCCTCCTCCTCCTCCTCCTCCTCCTCCTCCTCCGCCTCCTCCTCCTCCTCCTCCTCCTCCTCCTCCTCTCTTCCTCCTCCTCCTCCTCATTCGCCCTCAAGCAACTTGGGCTCAGACCATTTTGGCAAGAGCCCGCCTTCTGTGCCTGCGCGCGGTGCTTGGGGCACTTCACCCACGCTCTCCAGGAGAGCCGCTGGTGACTACTAAAACAGAAGGTGCTCACACATGATGTCTCGTCCTTGATGTCAGGCCCGGGAAATTTGTTTTTGGCGCCCATGCTGTTCACTGGAGCGACGCACTTGAGGGGCTCAGATCGGGTCGCGTCCACTTTCCGTCTGGCCGTCCTCCCGTTCTTCCTTGTCCCGCACGTGTTTTTCAAGCTCCCACAGGCTGGGCGGGCACTGGTTTCGTCATTTACATCTCAGCCATCCCTCAGGGCCGCACGGAGGGGGTATTCTCTTTCGCTGGCCTCGGGCGTTTGCTGGTTGCAATGGCGCTCAGTTCCCATCATCTACAATGCTGCTATCTCCCAATGCCGCGTGGGGAGGGTACGGGCGGCGGCCTATTTGTTCAGCGTTGCTGGGACTGGGCCTCTTACTGTTATCTTTTTCACGCGGTGCTGCGAATGGTGGTCAATTATTGCAAGGGCTGGAGGCTTTTTCCTTGAATGTAATGAGGCTGTTTTCGGTGTGAACGATCCGTCAGGGTTGCCCGATGACCAGTTTACTGTAGTGGGCCGTATCGAGTTTGCTTCGGTTCAGCTTATTTGTATCAAGGTGGCTTTTGGCATTCTTTCAACTTCCTCTGTATTTGTCTGGTGTTGAAGGGGTGAACTGACATTCTATGTTTGGGAGGAACCCATCCGCGGGCTTATGGTTCCACGGGCTTCTCTGCCAGCTTTTCAGAAGAAGTGCGTCCTCTTCCTGTCCGTCGTGCTCTTCGGCAAGTCCAGGGGGGGGCGTCTGTTTCGATCTTCGCTTCGCGACTGTTCTCACTCACTCACTCACTCACTCCTCCTCATTCGCCCTCCTCCTCCCCCTCCTCCTCCTCCTCCTCCTCCTCCTCCTCCTCCTCCTTCTCCTCCTCCTCCTCCCTGCCTCCCTCCCTACCTCCCTCCCTCCCTCCGTCCCTCCTCCTCCTCCTCCTCCTCCTCCTCCTCCTTCTCTCCCTCCTCCTCCTCCTCCTCCCCCCTTCTCCTCCCCCTCCTCCTCCTCCTCCTCCTCATCCTCCTCCTCCTCCTCTTCCTGCTCCTCCTCCTCCTCCTCCTCCTCCTCCTCCTCCTCCTCCTCCCCCTCCTCCTCCTCCTCCTCCTCCTCCTCCTCCCTCCTCCTCCTCCTCCTCCTCCTCCTCCCTCCTCCTCCTCGCTCCCCTCCTCCTCCTCCTCCTCCTCCTCCTCCTCCTCCTCCTCCTCCTCCTTCTCCCCCTCCTCCTCGTCCTCGGGAGGGAGTCGTCCTGTCTTACAGTTGGGGGGTGGTGCCCATTGCGGAGGCACCCCTCCAGGCCGCGCGGGACGGCGAAGATTATGCGATCCTCCAGCTGTGTCTCAATGCTATCATCTTCAGTGGGACCAGCCTCCATATAGATTGTGCTGGCACGGTTGAGTGCGCTCGGGATCCCAGGTCTGCCGCTGGCCCTGAGCATGCAAGGGCCCGTTGGTGGGCTCAGGTGCACGACGAGCTCGATGATTGCACTGTGTGGAAGGCCTCGCCCCATTGCACGCAGACGGACGTGATTGAGGGCCGCCTGACTCGTGCGCAGTGGCTTGGTAATAGAGCGGCTGATATGTATGCGCGCCGTGGGGCCGATCTTTTTCGCAGCGATCTCGCCGATCGTCTCGTCATCATCGGCTGCCATGAGATTGCTAGGCAGGTTGCTCGCGTCTCGGCTCGCCAGGAGGCCATGATCGCAGATGCTGGTGTCTTCGACCACGTCTCGTCAGATTGGCTTCGCGAGGTCGACCTCGGCTCCTTTGAAGTGCCGCCAGGTGTCCTCGAGGAAGGCGTTGGGGACGGGGGGGCGGGAGCGTCGTCCGTCGTCGGAGGAGGGGGCGCGACGGCCAGCGGCGTGGCGCAGGACGCTGACGAGGTGTCACCCTCCCCCGTCCGCCCGCCTCCAGGGGAAGAGGCTTGGGCCCGCCTCAGGCCGTGGAGGGCTAGAGGCCATTCCTGCATCGAAGCTCCAGTGACCTCGGCAGTCGGGGCTCCTTTGGGACCCGTGGTCTTTTGCACCACGTGCGGGTCCATCGGCCGCCCTGGGACTGCTTGGGGTCGGAGCGCTCTCGTGTCGGACTGTCTAGGGTCCCGTCCTCCAGGCCGCGAGCGGCAATTGGTTCGGATGTTGCAAAGGCAAGCACCCGTCCCGCAGGGAACGCCGAGTCGGAGCAGCGCGCTCGCTCTCCGACGATTCTCGGACCCCCCTGGCTTCGAAGTCAGGCCCAGGAGGTGCACCCGAGCTTGGACCCGACCCCGCTGTTGAGCGGATGGGGGTCGATCTCATCCGAGGCCTTGCGCTATTTGGTTTCTCCTCCCCCGCTCAGGCCGAAGGCCTGGGACAGCAGGTCCTGGACAGCAGACGCCGCGTGGAGGCTGATCTCTCGGACGATGGCTTTTAATGCCCTTCTCTGGATGGGCGGGCTGTCTTTTGGATGCATGTTTAATGCGGTGGCACCTTCAGCTGGCGTGGATCTCCTCCTCCTCCTTCTCCTCCTCCTCCTCCTCCTCCTTCTCCTTCTCCTCCTCCTCCTCCTCCTCCTCCTCCTCCTCCCTCCCTCCTCCCTCCT